TAATAAAAAATACATAGAACATGTACCATACTACCTCTCTAAATCCAAAAGTGCATTCTGAAATACTTTTGGCCCCAACAGTTCTGGCTAAAGAATAATGGGCCTGTATTATTATTTATTGAGCACTTATGATATATCAGTTCTCATACTTTTATCAGTTATTTTATCCAATTCTTTTGATAGTTCCATGGGATAGATACTATCACTATTCTCACTTTATAGATGAGAAAACTGAATCACAGAGAGGTTAGTAACAAGTTCAAGGTTACAGAGCTAAGAGGTTGTAGAGCCAGGGTTTGAAGCTAGTGCTACATTCTTCTTCTTCTTCTTTATTTTTTTTAAATGTTTTTATTGATTTGAGAGAAAGAAAGAGAGAAACATCGAGCAGCTGCCTCCCACATGCATCCTACTGGGGATTGAGCCCACAACCTGGGCATGTGCCCTGATCAGAATTAAACCGGCGACCCTTTGATGCATGGGACGACGTTCAACCAACAGAACCACACAGGCCAGGGCTAGCACTACATTCTTAACAACAACATATCTGCCTTAGATATGTGGAAGACAGATGAATGTGGTTTTTTTAAAATTTTAATTCTTTATTGTTGAAAATATTACATATGTCTCCTTTTCCCCGCATTGACCTCTCTCTGGATGAAGTTTTGCTTGAGAGATTGGGGCTGAATATAGAGATTTTTTATTTCTACTGAGGAGAAGATGTGAGGAGGGATCAATCCAGAGGCCAAAAGTCCAGATATCAGGACAGGTCTTGTGCTGGGGGAGGGGTGGGAGAGGAAATGAGGAAGAGGAACCAACAAAGAAGCAGAAGTGGTTAGAGTGGTGGCAGGTTCCTTGGGCTGGGATAGAGTCACAGAGGCGGGGAAAAGAGAAGCTCATGAAAGGGGACTTGGCCAGTTTGAAATGCCTCAGAGAGGCAAGGAGAATGTTTGGTGGGAAGGAATTGAATTAAATTATCTTTATCTGAACTTTCCTTATCCATGGCTTACTCTTGTGAGCCTGAAAAGGGAAACTCCGATTTGGGAATTTGGCAGATTTTGACACACCGTGTGGTACATGGAAGTTGGTCATGAATGTGCTCTGAAAGGCTGTCATCACATCAGAAAAGGGATTCAGAGCACTAGGCTTCTTTACTTACACTGCTTACTAATCACATGCTTGAGTAGGAGTGATCTGTAGTTTGGAGCAAAAGTTTAATACCCTTTTCAACTAAATGCACTAATTTCTGACTAATAGAATAGTGCTTAGATTATGAATGTATTTGGTTCCCTCAGTCCCAATGGACTGAGGGGATTCCTTCATAGGTGCATCTAATTATTATCTCAGTTTTAAAATGAGAGCTATTGTTACGTGCTTGTTATTGCTATAAAAATTAGATAAAAATCAACAGAGAAAACTAAACCTAAGGACATCTGGATAAACTATGGACTTTAATTAATACATCAATATTGGTTAACTAGTTATAACAAAAATAAATGTTCCATACTAATATAACATGTTAATAGTAGGGGAAACTGTAGAGGGGGGTATTTGGGTACTCATTACTATATCTGGTCAATTTTTCTGTAAATCTAAAACTGTTCTAAAAATAGAATCCTATATAATAAAAGGGCAATATGCTAATTGACCCTCACCCCATCGCAAAGATGGCGGCACCCACAGCCAATAAAGAGGGAATATGCTAATTGCTTCCCCGCCCTCAAAGATGGCGGCACCCACAGCCAATAAGAAGGGAATATGCTAATTGACTGCCACACCCTCAAAGATGGTGGCGCCCAGTCCCCTCAGCCCTGCTGGGGTAGCAGGCGCCCGCCTCCGGACTCCCTCAGCCCCCAGCTGCCCAGGGCTGGCCCGAGGCGCAGGCAAGCCTCGGATGGCCAGTCACTATGAGGCACACTGACCACCTCTTGGTCCCTCCCCCCAGCCGGCAGGCTCCGATCGCCTGATGGCGAATGGGGAACTAGGGGTGGGTGGCAGTGGGGGGTGGGTGGTGATGGGGGGCGGGGCCGGCTGTGGTACCAATCTCCTGGTCTGACTCCATTATTACCCTAGATATGGGGAGCTTTTCATCTCCTCCATGAGTTCCAAAAAGTAACATTACAAAAGATCATTTGACAGTTTCCTTCTTTCAGTGCTCCCATTGAAGCCCTGCATCTGTGAATAAAATAAACCTCCTTTGCCTATGTAATGCTTAACTTGTAGCATAATATGGTAGTTAAGAGCTGGTCTTCCTCAGTTCAAATCCTGGCTTTTCTTTTACAAGATTCATGACCTTGAGAGAACTTATTTAATTTCATTGTAACTCGGTTTCTTATGTAAAATAAGGATAATAATAGTACCTGTTGTGAGGGTTAGTTTAATTGATATATGTAACACTAGAGGCCTGGTGCATGAAATTTGTGCACTGTGGGGGGTGGTCCCTCAGCCTGGCCTGCGCCTTCTCACAGTCCAGGACCCCTCCCTCCTTACTGCCCGCCTGCTCACTGCTCCTTACTGCTTGACTCACTGCTCCTTAGCGCTTCTGCAGAGGCAGAAGAGGCTCCCACCACCGCCGCTGCACTCACCAGCTGTGAGTCTGGCTTCTGGCTGAGCGGCCCTCCCCCTGCGTTGAGCCTCTGCCCCCAGGTGGTCAGTGCGCATCATAGTGACCAATCGTTCTGGTCATTCTGCCATAATGGTCACTTAGGCTTTTATTATATAGACTAGAGGCCCGATGCACAAAATTTGTGCAAGGGGCTCAGCCCTCACAGCCCCGGCTGCCTCGGCCCTCATGGTCCCGGCTGCCTCAGGACCTCACGGCCCCGCCCCCCGCCCACTGGTCGTTCTGGAAAGTCACTCCACTGTCCAGTTAATTAGCATATTAGCTCTTTATTATATAGGAAGGATTATATAGATAGATGCTTAGAACAAGTCTCAGTATATAGTAAATGCTCAATAAATGTTAACTATCGTCATATGTTATTCATGGATGAAGTGGTCCATATGTTATATTAAGGATGAGAGGGCTATATCAGGGTTGTATTTGGAAGAATTGTCACATCACAGACCTATTCCTCAGGGAAGCTATGGTCTCCACTGTTTAGTAGGCGACCTTTTCAGGGCCATTAAGCTCTCTGGCCCCCAGTTTCCTTGTATTTAAAATAATCCGAGGATGGAAAGCTTATATTTTAATTCAGTGATTCTCAAGGTGTGAATTAGGGACCTCTGGGTGGTTCCTAAGACCCTTTCAGGAGTCCTTGAGGTCTAAACAATTTTCATAATAATAATACCAAGATGTTACTTGCCCTTTTCAGCCTCATTTTCTTAAGAATCTAAAGTTTTCCACAGGCTACATGATATCTAATATTGCAATATATACAAAGCAGAAGCTAATATGAGAATTCAGCTGTCTCCTATTAAGCCATGCATTGAAAAGATTTGCATTCTCTCACTAAACCCTTTAAAAAAAATTTATTGATTGATTTTAGAGAGAGAGGAAGGAGGAGACAGACAGACAGACACGTCGATTTGTTCCACTTATTTATGTATTCATTGGTTGCTTCTTGTGTGTGTCCTGACTGGGGATTGAACTCGCAACCTTGGCGTATCAGGACAATGTTCTAACCAACCGAGCTACCCAGCCAGCTCTCACTAAATTTTTAAAAAACAGTTATTTTTTAAAATAAAAAATGTATTTATGTTAACATGTAATGGTTTTTTATTATTTTAAAATGAAAAAATTTTTTTCTCAGTTTTAATTTCTAGTATGGAAAAATTAGATATAATTTACATAAACAAAGATCTTTGGGGTTCTCCACAATTTTAAGAGTGTAAATTAGAACCACTGGTCCGGTTCTTCAGTGGACTGGAAGAGAATTGTAGGCCCCTAATCTCTTGGGAAGAGGAAGTCCTTATGCATCCATTCTACCTTTCAGGCTCTTCCTTTTTTGTCTGTTCTGTGTTCCTCATCTTCAAATGCTTTGAAAGCCTCTACTTTCTTCTATGCCATTCTATAAATGTATCTTTCTCAATATGATCTTCATTGATTATGAATTCTTTCTCTTCTCTATATTATTTGTTGATTTCCTAACAATCTTACTTTTTCCCCCTCTATATCTGTTGTTCTGTCATAGCTCTTCCCTTTTCCTTTCATTTTTAACTCCCACAAGTTGTTTGTTTGCCCTTCACAATATCTCTTACTCCTTGATTTGTTCCTTAACATTCTAACACTTCTACTTCCTTTTATTTCTGATATTTACACTCAACTTTGTTCTCTAATTAATCCATTTAATAAATATTAAGCACATATATTACATATTCCCTTGATTGTCTCCGGGGTACAGAAACAAGATAGATGTGATTCCTGTTCTCCCAGAGCTTATAGGCTACCCATGATGGTCATTTAGGATAAAGCTGGGGGCAGTTATAAGGTAATTTGTCCAGGGTCCCACGTTATCCCCCTGGGGGTAGCCTTGAGAGGATCACAGAAATCAATACTAGCAGTAGCAACCATTTATTGCGTGTCTACTGTATATCAGGCACTTTACTTCTATTATCTTATTTAGTTCTCATAGCAACTCTGCAAATTAGACATATTTAGCCCCATTCTACAGATGGAAAAACCAAGATTCATAGAGGGTAAATAACTTGCTCATAGCTATATAGTTAGGAAGTGTTAGTACTAAGATTTCTTTTTCTGTTCAGTTACATCAGCCAAGAAGGAACGGTATCCTGGCCAGGAAATTATATGGAGGGATGAAATGCCAGAGCAAAGCAACTAAGCTGGGGCAGCCGCCTAGGGATCTTGTCCCAAGAGCTTTGTTGCCCCTGAGATTAGAACTGGAAGACTACAACTGATTGGAAAGGAGAATACCCAGGGGGTAGAGATGCTGGAAAAGGACATCAGGGATATTTGCTTAATGTTGCTAAATGACTGCCTATTGCTTACCTGGGAGTAACACATGCCAGAGTACCCGCTAACTTGTCTGTCATTTCTTTGGCAGAGTGACGTCAGAATCAAGTTTGAGCACAACGGGGAGAGGCGGTAAGTCTGCTTTCTGATTAGTAGTTGTGTCCCTGGAGTGATTCTTGTGCGGTCACTGGCTGGACAATGGGGTTGATTGGACATAAAGGGTAAAGTTTCACCCTTGGCTTGGCCTACCAATTGAACCTTATTTCTAGTCTATATGGAAGCCACTTAAACTGATGTTTTACTCTCCTGCTCTTATTCTGCTACTGTGAGATCTGCCAGTTTGCGAGGGGAGGAAGTCAAGACTTCAGCCCTTCTCAGAGTCATAACTTCCAGACACTCTGACACTGTACCACTTGCACGCATTAGAGGGAGTTTATGATTCTCCTGTGATGTGCCATTACCTTCCCTGATAGCGTGGCCCTAATTTTGTCCATGTCAGAGGCCAGGGTGATGAATTGGAAGTTTTTTATAACGTCTAGGTCATGGGAAGCTTCACCAAGTCCCTCAGATGTGAAGGAGTTCAGATCATTTGAGAACAAAGAAAGAGGGAGTTTTTCAGTCTATATTCCCTTACCTTGTTAGGGAAGTGAAAGTAATATTACAAAACCCTGATGTCCTTTTCTCCATTGTCAGTATTTAGTTTTTTTGTTGTGTTTTTTTGTTTTGTTTGTTTTTTGGGGGTGTTTTTGGTAGGAAGTTAAGGTAGATGTTCTTAGTGAAGAAAAATATGACTTCACTTAATTTCTCATGTTATTTAAAGAAAAACTTCTAAAAGCCATAGAGAACTCTGGTCACGGGATATTTGGGACCCTGTGTGTATGTATGTGCATAAGTGTGCCTTTCATATCTGTCTCCCACTCTTTGCCTTTCTTTCATTGATATCCCCCATTTTTCTTTGCTCCCAGCATTTGGAGAGTCGAAGAGGATACTACTGATAAGTATAAGGTCCCCCTACTTTACAAGTCCCTCCAGAGGACCTTAGTTTCTCCAGACATTCTTAGTATTGGCACCTCTCTGCTGCTGGCAGTTTTCAGTCCACTTTGAAGCTAGCTCCATACGATATTTGTGGCTATAGCTCTTCCTTAAAAAGATACATCTACAAGCCCACAAAGTTGTCAGAGCCTGCCTGGTAGAAACATTTTACAAAGAGTGGTCTGCAGTGCCATAATCTTACTGCTGCCATGTGGGTACTAGGGCTCTTCCAGGCCTGGAAGGAGGAAGGCCTTCTGAGCCCTGTCACCAGCTGCTCCTCTTGTGTCTTGCCAGTAGCTGGGAAGTTAAATTGTCACTTCGTTATTGCTGCTTTTCACACTTCTAACCTGGCTGGGTTTTGGAAGCATGGCCAGACTTGCAGCCCGGAGTTTTCAGTAGATATGAAATCAAAAGCTCAATTGTGTTGGAGCCTAATTATGCAGTTATGCTCTCCTGAATTCCTGTTCCCAAAGTGGTATGCAGTTACAGTGAGCAGACTTACACTGAGAACGTGTATGTGTTTAGTTTCAGAGAAGCTGCCAGATCGAAACCACAAATATTTAAGGTGGTCAGGCAGGAATGGTCTTTTGAAGCCCTGAGCAGCAGAGCATTGGTATCAAGGTTTTGAAAACTGCATTCTCTTTTTATGGAGCTGTTTTCAGGAGCCATGGCATTTCACTGTTTGTGTACTATGTGTGGAACTGAGGACTTTATAAAGTTGGGGCAAGGAAGCCAAGTTCAAGGTGCTTTGTGCCAGACAGCTCTGGTTTTGTGTATTTCATGTCTTAGGATTTTGTAGAGGATGTTATTGTGGGCTTTCTTTACTTTTTACAGGGAATATAGACAGTATCTATCTAAATAGTCCCTTACAGAATTAAAATTTATAGAAAAAAAGTAGTGGCTTTTTCCATTCATCTATGCCAAGTATCCATTCGGGAAAGCTGACTTCCCCTTTGCTTTGGAAGTTTGGGGCCCAAACTCCTGACCTTTCTCCCTCTTAACCCCAAGAGGGCAGAAGAGGAGGCCTGTAGATTAGGATCTCCTTCCCTCTGAAAACCTTCATGTCTGGATACTGGTGAGATGATTGTCATGGGTGTTTGATCCCTCTTTGAAACACTGGCCTAAAAATGCTTGTTATTCACTGGGTGGGCAGCAGTTTAGATCTTACCAACTTTGGAAGTCCTGGTTTCTGATCCTGACCAGGCTTTTGGGCTGCTCTTGGGGGTTTTGAATGGCTTGTCTCCAGGCCAAATGCAGGAGAATTTATCTCTGAGCCATCCTTTTCTCATAGTGTGCTGGGGACATTTGAGTGGTCTTCTGATATTTTATTCAAAAAGGCTGGCCCCTTTTGAACTGCTGCTGAGGTCCTAATGAAGGGGCTGGGGTATGATTTATGATTAGGAATTTACAGGAGTCATTCTCTCAGGCTCCAAAAAACACTCATATCTAGGTAAACCATCTCTAGATAGCACCCAACAGTATCATTGCTTGGGACAGATGATTTAAGGGAAAAAATATAAGGATTACAATATGGTTGGATTTCCTGGTGGACATAGACTAATATATTCAGCAATATAACTTCCAACATTAAAGAAGTTAATCTGGTTAGATTTCATTAAAATCCAATAGCATAGATTCCTCTTTCCTGTGTCTTGTTGCTTCTTCTGTTCATACCTCTTCCCCCTCTGGGGAAGCAGGAAAGATGTGAAAGAACAACACACTGCTTCCTCTCAGCATGGAGGAAGGCAAGAACTGTAGAGGTTCCATGGCTAAGTACTTTACTCCACCACATGGTAGTTAGATTTCATCTAGCCTAGACCTATTAAAAGATGAAGGAAATTTTAATATGCATTTTTCCCATCACACTAAGCTTCTTTTCATGTGTTTATTAGCCATTCATAACTCTTCTTTGAATTGTCTCATCATACTTTGCCTGTTTTTTTAATTGGATTTTCTGACTTTTTCCTATTGATTTGGCAAGTATTTTCTCCAAGTTTGATGTGTGTGTGTGTGTGTGTGTGTGTGTGTGTGTGTGTTACTCCTCACCTGAGAATTTTATTTTTTTTGAGAATATTTTTTTATTGATTTTTAGAGAGAGTGGATGGGAGAGGGAGAGACAGAGAGAGAGAAACATTGTTGTGAGAGAGACACATCAATTGGTTGCCTCCTGCACGTGCCCCGACCAGGGCCAGGGATTGAGCCTACAACCGAGGTATCTGCCCTTGAATCAAACCCGAGATCCTTCAGTCTGTGGACTGACACTTTATCTACTGAGCCAAACTGGTTAGGGCGATATTTTTTTAAACTTTGTTGATGATTTATTTTGTCATCAGAAGTTTAAATTTTGTTGTCAAATCTGTCTTTATCCTTTTGGTCTTCTATATTTTATGTAATAATTAGGAAATCTATCCCCATGCTAATATTTTTTAATCTATATTTTCTTTTATATGTATATATAGAAAGAGTATATATATGAGGTTCTCTCTGATATTCTCATCTGCTTATCTCTTAGCTTATTTTTGTTTTAATTTAAGTTTCGGAGTATTATGTTGAATCCATATGAAATTGCCTCTTTAGGACTATCAGCAGTATCATATAGTTCATCCTAATACATTCATTAAAACTTTTTAATGAAAATTTCAAACACACACAAAAGTAGAGAGAATATTATACTGAACCTCCATGGACGTGTCACCCAGTTTCAGTATTATCAACATTTTGCCAGTCTTGTTTCATCTTTTCCCACTTTTAAATTTTGCTGTGCTAGTTAAAGACAAATCATGTTAACACCTGTATAATCTTAACAAACTGTACAACTCAGTGGCTTCTAGTATATTCGCAGTTCTTACTGTATCCTCCATTATAGGAATTGTTCTTTGAACTGACCAAAGGAGTCTTTCTAGAAGAGCATCAATATCAACACTACTTACATGTCCACTTGTGTGGCTAGTTAATAAACTAATCAGACATATAACCAACTCAAGGGAAATTCCTGTAACTCTATGGTAGGAAATCTCGATTCTGAGGATAATCAATATTGAGATTCCTATGACATCTCAAAAATGAGCAGTGGAAAAAATCTTTCAAGTCTGAAGTTGAGTCACTTAGGAGTTAACACCATGGTTTTAGGACTGCTGCACCAATCTCCAGGTTTTCTTCCTAACAGGAGTATTTGGAACATAGTTTTTAAATCTAGGTGTCCTGCTATGATACTGAGCTGTCATTGACAGAAAAATCTAAGCTGAAGTGGTAGAGCGGTGGGTGGGACTAAGCAAATACTTTGCTAATACTATTAGCAAACCTTAAAGATACTTAGAGGAAGAGTGAAAAAATACAGATAGATAAGAGAAGAAAAAGAAACAATAAAGAAAAAGGCAAATTGTGTCCTATATTGAAAAAAAACACACAAGAAAATCATCAGAAGTCATAGCTTTCTAAATCCTACGTTAAAATATGCAATTAACCATGCTTCCTATTCCTTTTCAGAATTATAGCATTCAGCCGGCCTGTGAGATATGAAGATGTGGAGCGCAAGGTGACAACAGTGTTTGGGCAGCCTCTTGATCTACATTACATGAACAATGAGGTGAGAAAGTAGATGGATGATATGGGGACAACAGTAGGGACAGCTGCCTACCTTTTTCCTCTCTGCTTAGCTGAGGATTTCCTGGTTTGTTCTTGTAATATCATCATATGTTTTCACTTTCTGGAGCTTTTTTTCTTAATTCCAATAACTCTGGGATCTCTGGTGGGTTTTTTTGTTTGTTTTGTTTTGTTTTCACTATATGGGGAGATTACATAGCTATTTTCATTTCCCTTGCTCTTTCAATGCCAGTAGCTCTAATACTCCATGGTGGAGTCAGGTATGGTGTCAGAGCCAGGTCTTATATTGTCTCCTTTACATTTTGGAGGTGATCTTTTTCTTTCCAGCAGAGACTTAACTAGAAGCAGAGGAACTGGGAAGGGGAGAAAACTGGTGGGTAGAACCTCTATTAACAGTCATAAATGCCGGATTCTTCTCTCAGAATTTAACTCCTGATTGTAGCTTGCTTCAAAAGTTAGCATGTACTTCAACGATTTCTTTGACTCTTTCTCCTCGAGCTACCTGACCAGGGCAGGAAGGAATTCTTTTTTTTTTTATTAATATATTTTTATTGATTTCAGAGAGGAAGGGAGAGGGAGAGAGAGATAGAAACATCAATGATGAGAGAGAATCACTGATTGGCTGCCTCCTGCACGCCCCCTTACTGAGAATTAAGCCCACAACCCGGGAATGTGCCCTTGACTGGAATCGAACCCGAGACCCTTTAGTCCGCAGGCTGACGCTCTATCCACTGAGCCAAACCAGCTAGGGCAAGAAGGAATTCTTTTGATTGTCAGTTAGTTGGCTGCTTTCCCAGCTATAAGAAAGGTACTAGAGGCTGCAGTCTGTTTAGACTGGTGCTTTGCATTAGTCTGAAAGGTAACATGTTTGTGCCTATTAACACTTGGAGTGCGGGAAACAAGTTAAGTCGGCTCGCGTGAATTGCGCGTACTCCGCGGGAGCCGTCTTTAACTCGGTTCATATAGATTTGCGGTGGAGTGCGGGAAACGTGTAAACTCGGGCGATTGTAACTGCGTATTACCAAATATTTGTTTGTAATCCACCCTTTTGGTGGATGGAACAAAACCAAAAGACAGAGCCATCCTATATTTTGACGGGAAATTCACCCGCACTCCAAGTGTTAAAGAGAGTATGTCTAGAGCAGTGATTTCCCACCTTTTTCAGCTCATGACATATATACAGTAATTACTAAAATTTTATTTTATTTATGTTTATATATTTGTAATAATAGTTTTATTAATATACTAGAGGCCCGGTGCACAAAAATTGGTGCACTGGGGGGGGGGGCAGAGGGGGTCCCTCAGCCCGTCCTGTGCCCTCTCGCAGTCTGGGACCCCTCGGGAGATAATGACCTGATGGCTTAGGCCTGCTCCCGGGTGGCAGAGGGCAGACCCAATCCCTAGGTGCAGCCCCTGGTCGGGCTCAGAGCAGGGCCGATTGGGGAGTTGGGGCGCTGCCCCCTGTCATGCACAGAGCAGGGCGGATCAGGAGGTTGCGATGCCACCCCTAGTCACGCTCAGGGTACGGCCGATTGGGGGGTTGGGGCACCGCCCCCTGTCACACTCAAGGCAGGGTCGATAGGGAAGTTGCGGCGCCAGCCCCTGTCACGCACAGAGCAGGGCCGATCAGGGGGGTTGGGACTCCGTACCCTGTCACGCACAGAGCAGGGCCGATCAGGGGGTTGAGGAGCTCCCCCCTGTCACTCACAGAGTAGGGCCGATAGGGGAGTTGGGGCACCGCCCCCTGTCACACACAGAGCAGGGCGGATCAGGGGGTTGGGGCGCCGCCCTCTATCACCCACAGAGCAGGGCCGATCAGGGGGTTGGGGCGCTGCACCCTGTCACACACAGAGCAGGGCCGATCAGGGGGTTGGGGCCCCGCACCCTGTCACACACAGAGCCGCAGGGCGATCAGGGGGTTGGGGAGCTCCCCCATATCAGGCACAGAGCAGGGCTGATCAGGGGGTTGGGGTGCCTTCCCCTGTCACGAACAGAGCAGGGCGGATAGGGAGGTTGTGGCCCCGCCCCCTGTCACACACAGAGCCGCAGGGCGATCAGGAGGTTTGGGCGCTGCCCCCTGTCACGCTGATCCCAGTGCCGGGAGGCCTCGCTGCTCCGCTGATCCCAGTGCCGGGAGGCATATTACCCTTTTACTACATAGGATAGAGGCCTGGTGCACGGGTGGGGGGTGGCTGGTTTGCCCTGAAGGGTGTCCTGGATCAGGGTGGGGGTCCCCACTGGGGTGCCTGGCCAGTCTGGGTGAGGGGCTGAGGGCCGTTTTCAGGCTGGAGGGTGACTGAATCTCCCAACCGCTCCTTTTTTTCTTTTTTTTTTTTTTTTTATTCTGGGCCAGCTTTAGCTCTGAGGCTTGGCTCCAGCTCTTAGGCCTCGGCTGCTCAAAGCAGGTTTCTGGCCTTTGTTTACCTTCTGTATTTGAAACAATGTTGTGGTCCTGCTGGCTGAAGCCTGGCTGACTAAAGCAGGTTTCTGGGGTTTGGTTTAGCTTCTATATTTGTTACAATGTTTCTTAGAGTTGCAGCTCAGAGGCCGGCAAGACAGGCGGGGAAGCTTGGCTTCCACCATCACTGAAGCAAGCAAGCCTCCCTGTTCACGTCAGCTGCCTGGCTGCCGGCCGCCATCTTGGTTGGCAGTTAATTTGCATATCTCCCTGATTAGCCAATGGGAAGGGTAGCTGAGGTACGGCTAATTACCATGTTTCTCTTTTATTAGATAGGATAATTCACCTACCATAAAATGTACTCTTTCCAACCCTGCTATGTGGTCTAAATTTGTGTCCTTATTTTTTTTTTTTAAATATATTTTATTGATTTTTTTACAGAGAGGAAGGGAGAGAGATAGAGAGTTAGAAACATCGATGAGAGAGAAACATCGATCAGCTGCCTCCTGCACATCTCCCACTGGGGATGTGCCCGCAACCCAGGTACATGCCCTTGACCGGAATCGAACCCGGGACCTTTCAGTCCGCAGGCCGACGCTCTATCCACTGAGCCAAACCGGTTTCGGCTGTGTCCTTATTTAAGTAACAGTTTTCATCCTCTTCCAGCCTCCCTCCTCCAATATCCCTTTTCTTCTTATTTCGTTAATGTCAGACAGGATTCTACTGCTTAATTTGGAAAGAAATATGGGACTATAGCTGTTTGGGGGCGGCCGGTGACTATAAATAACACAAGAGATCTGTTTTGAGCAGTGAAACGTTTTAAAATTGAATTGCGGTGATGGTTGCACAACTCTGTAAATTTACTAAAAATTATTGAATTGTACATGTAAAGAAAAGAAAATATCTCTCTGGTTTCAATGTGATCTTTTAAGACCCCATAGTATCCAACGAGATTGTTTTCTTCCAATTTTATTTTTGTTTATTTTGCTTATTTCTGCAAACTAAAGACTTTTATATGATTTTCTTTTTTTGTGTCCTGTGTCACAGCTCTCCATCCTGCTGAAGAACCAAGATGATCTTGATAAAGCAATTGACATTTTGGATAGGAGCTCAAGCATGAAAAGCCTTAGAATATTGCTGCTGCCTCAGGACAGAAACCATGTAAGTAGCCCCTATCATAGCCTGGCAGCGGAAAACAAAGCTTGCTGTCCTTCAGTTCACCTTGCTTCCTTGACAGAATTTTGTGTTCCTCAGCCACTACTAAAGTGAAAACATAAGCATGGCCACAGTGTCAGTAGCCAGCTAGCCTTCTGCATTTGATTTCACTGTGAAGCCAGATCATCAGTGTTAAAGTTGCAACTAAAGGTTACTTGGCTTGTGGTGTGGGAGGAAGGAAAACATTTTATAATAAAGGATATTTTTTTCTCTATATTTATGTCCTTTCAATTAGATTTGGACCCTAACAAGAAAGATTTGATTAGTGTGGGGGGTGCTGATAAGCAAAGGCTACCAAGGATTCAAGACTCTCATGCTTTATAAATCCCAGCTCCTCAGCAACTGTGCCTTTCTCTTAGGACACATGTAGGAAATAAACTTTTCCTTCTCTTCATTGGAAAAAAGGCCATTGGGCTGTAGGGCTCTTGTAACTTACTAGCTGCTGCCTTACCAAATGGCAGGCAATCAACAAGGACCGTCAGAAGTGAGGAGTTATTCTTTGTGCAGTTCCCTTTCCTAAAGGGTCTCTGAGGGACTACGTTCCACAAGAATGCTTGTAAACTGGGTCTGGCTTCTAATCACGGATTCCTCTACCAGTTTTCTTCAGATGCATGTTCCCAATGGTTTCTTGGCACTCTTTCCTTCCCTTATGCTTGAAGACAGCCAACTGTAGACAGCTGACATGCTGTATGAGAGCCATGGGTGCACTATACCAGGACAGAATTTAGATGGAATGGTGCTCAAGCATCTGCAATGGTGACTTCAACTCTACGTGATGGAAGTAATCTGGTTAACAAAGGGGGTGTGCAAGTTAATGAGTTGATTGTGGATCCTCATCTGAAAGTGATCTGAAGTCTTAGAACCCTCCCCACAGGGAGTTTTTCTTGTAGTGATTCTCAGAGTCTTGGTAGGCATCTGAACTGGTCCTTCCACTTTGAGATTCCTTTCTGTTGCACCTCTGATCAAATGAGCATACACCTTCTCCAAAGGCTTTACATTGTGGCTAGTTAGAGAAATTGTGATTTGGTGAATCACCACCTCTGGTTCCATGGTGTCTTTCCGGTATTTTTAAAAGCCATGGCTGCGGCACAGCTGCCTGACCAACTTGTTCCTGGGTGAGAGTGAACAGTGGTGAGGCAGGAGTGGGAGGGACAGAGCTGCATTGCAGCTGCAACCATGTCTTCCTCCGACCATTTATTTTTTTAAGAGACATATGGGGTTGAACTGTCCTATTAGGAGGAGACAAAGGAGAATGCAGTTAGGGAGCCTTAGAATTAAGAAGACATTTTCTGATATTACAGACGTGTCCTTGTGCATGAGGATTGGTCTTCTCTATCCCAAGTGTGTCTTTTTTTAAAATATGTTTTGGGAAGTATTCTGAAGTAAAAATACATACTTTATTATTTCATTTCTCTATTTAAATTACTCACCTGCACCTTACAGTTCTTCCTTATTGCCTGTCATAGATCTACATTTAGCCTAGCACCCAGGGTTTATCACCAACTACCCTTGCTTTTAATTCCCCAGTCTCATCTTTCCACATTCTTCCTCATACTCTCCCATTCTTCAGTTCTTCTTCCTCTTTGTCAGACCATGGCCATTACCTTTTAAAGGATTAACCTACAATTTGGTTAATATATTGACTGAAACTATTTTATTTATTCCCTATTAGTTTAGTCATTGGATGTAATTTGCACACCAGTTTATAGGTTGCTTAATTATTACCCTCTAGTTGTTGCATATTTATAACTTTTACCCTATAAGAGCATACAATCTTCATAATTATAATTTATAAAAATACATAATTCCCTTGAGTTGGATGTACCATAATTTAATTAAATAACCATTTGTGCTATATTGGGACACTTAAGCTGCTATTATTTTTTGCATTTGTAAAGATGTGCATTTAAGACTAACAGTGAGTGATAATGGTGGTGATAATTCCTTGGGAACTTCCTCAACTAGACTTCAAACTTCTTAATAAACAGAAGTATGATTCAAAATAGCTATGTGCTCAGGAATCCCACCTCTAGAACAGTGCTTCTGTAACTGTCAGTGATGCTTCACTCTCACATCAATGTTTCTCTCTCTCTGAAAACAAAACAAAAACAGAAAAACATGTCCTCCGTGAGAATTAAAATAAATAAAGACTTTTCTAAACATGTGTGCATCTAACTATTATCTTTCTGCTTTTGATCTTCTTATAACTTTCTAGACCCAGCTTTTAAGCTTAGCATTCTTTTGTATTTGCATACAAAAGCATATATGTAATCAAAGTCTGCAAAGCATTGAAGAGTAGAAGTAATGAAAACAGGTTTACTCACCTAATCTCAATATGGATTAGCTCTGTGAATATTGGTGGTATATAACAAAAAGAAAAAAATAATTTATATGAGGGTTGTAAACATGGCATTCATTCAAAACATTTTTAAAGGTTTTTAGTAAATTAATGTTAAAGCTATAAATTTATTAAATAACCTGCCTAGATGCTTCTACAACTATCATAACTATACTGGTATTCATGCAAATGTCTCTTGGTGCCACCATTGAAGCAGAGCATGGTGAGATCCAGGGTGCTGTTTCTCAGCTCGTGTTCCCATGAACCTAATTTCCCCCCTGCAGAATTGAATCCACTTATTCCTTTTGTTTGATGCCACCAAATCTTGTATCAAGATTGTAGGTTAACTTTTATAACCTCTTTCTCTGCTGATCTTCTAGCTTCCACTCACTGCAGTCTTTATGTACATGGTTCCCTGGTAATGTTGCATGTTGTTTGTGTCAGCCACATACACTGCTACCCACAGAATCCTTCAGTGAAGTTTTCATTGAATGGTCAACTGTCACATTCTGTTTGCTAGCTTTAGAATGTTCTGCTAGCTACACCCTTCACACATGTTGACTCTTTTTTCACTCTATTATAGTTCCCATTTATTTTTCCTAGTCCCACCTTCCTTCTTCCTCTTTCCCACTTCTAAGTCTTATTCAAGGTTCTCTGAATCCTTGCATCAACTTCATTTTTGTTTGCTACACCATTCTCTTTTATCTCCTTAAATTGGGGTTTTCAAACTTGACTATTACAAACACTTGGGAAGATTTGAAAAATGCCGATCTTTGAGCCCCATCCTCTGAGTTGGTCTGAAGTGTCAAAAGCCCCATGGGCAATTCTGATGGGTGGCTAGGATTGAGAAGCGTTGCCTTAAATTAAAGCATGACTCACCTTCTAAGATATTGCTGCTCAAAGTATGGACCATGTGTCAGCAATATCACCTGGAAGCTTGTTAGAAATGCAGATTCTCAACCCCACCCAGACCTACTGTGTCAGAATCTACATTTTAACAAGGTCCCAGGTGATTTTGTGTACACATTCAAGTGTGAGAAGCCTTGCTTTGAAACCTTTATTAATTTCCCTTCATCTGTTTTCCAACCTGTTGCCGCAACTTCAGCCTCTTTTTTTTTTTTTTTACAAATCTTACGCTGGCTGTTGAACCTACTTTCCTATCTCAGCTTTTAGATTTTAAAATTGAGAGTTTAGAGTATATGTTCTTTGATACATTTCTAATTCATATTGCCAAGATTTATTGAAGTCCCACTATGTGTAAGGCCCTGTGTCCAAGCAGGTGTCTTTAAGTGCTCATCATGCAGCTCTTCTGACTGCAGGGCTGGGCCCTTCGCTTGCCCTTCACTGGCCTGCTGCCTCAGTATGTGGCTTTCTGACTCTCAGCAGAGAGCTATTGCATCTTGGGGGCTTCAGCAAGAACATTCATGTCCCCTTGGTTCTGACTTCCCATTAGAGCAATACAGTTTGTCAAGACAACTTGCATGTGAAAAGTCTGGCCTGGGGAAACTAGAGGAGGCTGCTTGGCAGCTGAACTCACCCCTGAGAACGGGAAGCCTTTTTCCTGGAGGACAGGATATAGTTTGTTTAAGTCAGATTTTTTTTTCTTCTGGGAGGTAAAAGACAGAGATGTAAGTAGAAACTTTGACCCAAATTATTCATAAATCCCAAGCTCCCATTTCCACTCTCAGTAGTGCTCTGGATATTTGTAAGCACATCCTGACTTCACTTGCTCACCAGCAAACTTCAGTTTTAAGCTTTCTCAGGGCAAGGATCCCCCTTTATTGTTTTGTTTTCTCTCTAGGGCTTGACTGGGTCAGTGTAAAAGTTGGGGGTCAGTATGGTAATGCTGCTGATCCTGTTTTGAGGTCCTTGACCTCTGACAGAATAGAAATAGCCTTTCCCAAATGAACACAATTCTGAGATGGTTTACATGTAAACTTCAATAATATGAAGCAACTGAGAACTTACCTTAATTTTCAGGGAATGATTATGGGAAGAAATAGCATATCAAGTTACTTTTTTTTTTAGATTCCTATTGCAACAATCCTAACCTCAAATACTCTTCTTAAAATATATTTTTTTATTGTTGATAGTATTACAGATATCTCCCATCCCCCTCCTTTACTCCCCTCCTCCCAGCCCCACCCACCCCCCTCAAGTTACTTTTAAAAATACATATTTACCAACCAGAATTTTGTTGGGCAGGGAGGTTGCCATCATTCTCTATTCTGACCCCCACTCAGCAGGTGGTCTCACTGCTGAAATAATTTCCTGCTTTTCCTGCTATTCTTCCCAAGCTCTCTGGAGAATTTTATGAGAGGGTATTTACAACTCTTTTCTGTTTGGCAGATTAATAGAGGAATGCCTGTTATTCCTCCGTGTCTGGGTCATTGCCTATTAAATTGGGGCACTGGGTCTCAGTGCTCATATGTCAGTGAAGCCATAAAACTATATAGAGCAAATAGTGATTTTCCAAGACAGACTGAGGAGTGAAATTTACAGGAAAGCTGGGTAGCTGTAGCTCATGTATTGAAAGCATGAAGGCAGCTGAAAATATGTGGATTCTAGGTAAGTGTGATGGGGCTTTTCTCAGCCCACCTGCTTAAAGATATCTCAGTCTTTTTCCTCTTATCTTGCAGACCAGTTCCTCTCCCCACTCCGGAGTGTCCAGGCAGGTACGGATCAAAGCTTCCCAGTCTGCAGGAGATATAAATACTGTCTACCAGCCCCCTGAGTCCAGAAGCAGGCACCTCTCTGTCAGTGAGTATTTCACCCCTTTTTTTCTCTCATCTAATATATCTGCCCATATTTTTAAAAATTATTAATTAAAAAACAATCAGCAAACATTATTGACTGCTACTCTGTGCAGAATAATCCTCTATGCCTTTATTTGGGAAAAAGGAATTAAAAAAAATGAATGGGATGGTATTGTGATCCTCAGGAAACTTACACTGTAATGATGTGATGTCGTAATCAAATTCCTTTTAAACATCTCTGAAAAACTGATCTCCTCAAACATCTGTGTGAAGCCCTCCAGCAGTAGTCTACCTTCATTTTTGACCATTCTTTCCCCGAAGGATTGTGGACTTGTGGAGTTCAGAATCAGGTCTAAGTTTGAGTTTTGACCTCAAACCTCTTGCCTGTGATTCTTGAGGAGTCCCTGTGCTTCGAGGTAGATGTTGACAAATGAAATTCTGGAAAAGTCAAACTAAGTTGTATGGGAAGGACAAGAGACTGTTGACATAGTGTATACAATTGGCTAATTAGGAAGAAAGCTGTGTAGCTGCTGCTGGGCCTCCCCAGGAAATAAATCTAAATCAGATCTGTGCATTATACCACATAACTCCATATTGCTCTAGATCCTGTTTCCTAGAATCTGAGGAAAAGGGCCATTTCTTGACTTCTGGGAATTTGTATCAAGGGGGAAATCTGGCCTTATCAAACATTTGTGTTGAGCCTACTGTCCTAACGTTGCTGAGACCCCTGCTGCCACTATGAAACCAAATTCTATCCATACAGGGAGAATTGCATCAAACTAAATTGCTCTCTAAAGATCTTGAGCTGAGCTTAGGGAGGTCTGAGCATTGGTCCTGTTTCTAAGCTTGTCTGTGAGTGATAAGCCTCCTGAGGAAGTAACAAGAAGAATATGTTGCTGAGGCACTGACTTCGACTCACTGGGTAGTTTCTTGAACTCAAACAAGCACTGGTAGTAAGTGTTGCCCAGCTGAAAGTCTGTGTATCAGTTTCATATTTCTCTAAATTATTGATAATTGGCAGCTGTGTTTTCAATAAGCTGGTTGAGGAGAGAGAGCCTGCACCCCAGCAAGGAGACTGCCCAGAGCATCTCTGGCCCTGGAGATTGAGCGGCTGGGAGGGCAGCATTGTTCATTTGTGGAATAAGCGGTGAGAATTGACTTGGGGTAGTGACTAGGCCTTCTTTTCCTAGGCAAGTGCCTGTGATTTGTATGTAGAAGCAGGAGCTAAATGCTGGGCCATTGTTGTAGAGAGTCATATATGAAATTCCTTGTCTGAGAATGCTGAGAAATAAGATTTCTATGAAGTAGTTCTTGTTTATCTAGAGAGTGGGCAATACAGCCTCCCAACACAGATAGATCCTGGGTTCCTTCATTCAGTAAGCATTGTGTACCAGCCACTGGGCTGGGATGAATGCTATAGTGAAGGCAAATGGAAGGCTAAGGGTAGTGTGGGAGCACAGAGGAGGCAGGCAATAACCAACTCTGCCTAGGACTTTGGAGAACAGCCTTCACAGAAGAAGGAACATCAGAGCTGACACACAAAGGAAGATTTACTGAGTTTAAAGTAGAGATCTATTCCAAGCACAAGAAAGACCACCTGCCAGACATGATCACAACAGAAGGTGGTGAGGTCCAAGAACCCCAGGTGGTTTGGAGTGGTAGATGTAACGAGAGTAGTGGGCAGAGCCTGCCAGTCTTTCTATAAAGCTGAGAATTGGCCCTAGCTGGTTTGGCTCAGTGGATTGAGCTTCGGCCTGCGGACTAAAGGGTCCCAGGTTTGATTCCAGTCAAGGGCGCATGCCCGAGTTGCAGGCTCCATCCCCAGTGGGGGAGGGGGGGGGGCCGGGCGGAGTGCAGGAGGCAGCCGATCAATGATTCTCTCTCATCATTGATGTTTCTATTTCTCTCTCCCTCTCCTTTCCTCTCTGAAATCAATAAAAAATATATTAAAAAAAAAAAAAGCTGAGAATTGGTAGAGATTATTTCTAACTGGGATGACCTGGGAAATGCATTCTGGCGAGGAGCTATTTGAGCTGATCTTTAGAGATTATGGAGGATTTCCATAGGCAAAGATGACGGGAGAGGGCTTTTCAACCATTTGCCTATGGAACTCTTACTTATCCTTTAGATTGGAGGAAAAATAGAGTGAGAAAGGATGCCTGGACCACTTTCTGAGGAGCCTTGACTGCACTGAGGCTTTGGTAGCCAGTGGGAAGCTGCTGAAAATGTTGACTATTTATATCCCTCTCCATTATAATGCTTATCACATTATCTTGTTATCTCCCTATCAGACTGCATTTTTATTCATTCATTCATTTATTCATTCAAGAAATAATTGCCAAAGTATCTGTGTGCCAGCAACATGAGAATAAAAAAAGACATAGCTCCTGTCCCTATTTCCCTTATAGATCTGTGGGAAGACAGACATCTACTTGTCATGCTGTGACTAATGTATAATTATAGACTATGACTAAAGGTGTATGGTGCTGTGAGCACATATGACAGATGGATGTGGCCTGATTTGGGGGCCAGGAAAGCCTTAGGCTTATAACCCAGAGCATGAATGAGAGTTATACAGAGGAGATACAAGTAAGAGTTCCAGGCAGGGAGAGCCTGATGGCTGAGGGAGTATGGTGTGTTTGAGAAACAAAGAATCCTGAGGGCTGGAGAGCTGAGAACAAGAGGAAGGGGGACAGGCTGAGACTGGGGAGGGAGGCAGAGCCTTGCAGAATGTGATGAAAATTTTGATCCTTGAAAGCAATGGGAAATCGATTGTAAGGTTTTTAAGTGAAAAGGAATGAGTGACGTGAGATTTACTTTGAAAAGATTGATCTAGCTACAGTGTGGAGAACAGATTGGAGTGGGGCAAGAATGGATCTAAGGGAACCACTGGATCTAATGCAGTGGTCCAGATGAAAGAAGACAGAGCTTGGAATAGGTTAGTGACAGTGGAGAGAGGTGTTCTTGAGACATTTAGAAGGTAAAACTGACAGAACATGGCATTGCAGTGGTTCTCAAGGTGTGTTCTGGGGACTTTGGAGTGGTCCCTGAGGTCCTTTCAGGAGGTCTGTGAGATCCAAACTGCTTTCATAATAGTATTAAGAAATTATTTGCCTTTTCACTCATTCCCTCATGAGTTTTCCAGAGGTTACATGCCTGAGGCAATGTCATTTCTCTGGTGGCTAATGGAATGTGTGCGTGAGTATTACTGTGTTTTAAAAATTTCTGAGCTTTGCCCTGGCCAATGTGGCTCAAATTGGTTGGGTGTAGTCCCATGTACTGAGGGGTTGCCAGTTCAATACCTGGTCGGGGCACATGCCAGGGTTGTGGGCTTGATTCCCCAGTGGTGGGCGTTGTTTCACTCTCGCACAAGTATTTCGCTTTCTCCCCCTCTCCTTTCTTCTTTCTCTAAAAATCAATTTAAAAATCTTTTTTAAAAATTCTGAGCTTTAATTTATAATACCGTGAATATCGATATAATCTACATAAATAAAAGCTCTTTAGTGTCCTCAATTTTTAAAGTATAAAGGGGTTCTAAGATCAAAGGGTTTAAGAACCACTATGGTATTAGATTGAATTTGCAGATGGTGAGAGAGCAGGAGATTAGCTTTATGGATGTGTATAAATGACACTGCCTTTTAGCCTGACAGGAACTCCAAAAGAGGCCCTGGTTGGGGTTCTGAAAAGGAACAGACCTGATGTTTTAGACAAGTTGAATTGGAGGTGCTTTGAGACAGCCAAGAGGAGATGCCAGATACCCATTTGATATGTTAGATACACAGATCTCTAGCTCATAGGGGAGAAAATCAGGAGTAGTGAAAAAATTGGAAATTGTCAAATTGAAGCCATGGACCAAGAAAAGAGCGCCTAAACAGACTGTAGAACGAGAGAGAAGAGGGCCTAGGACTGAGCCTTAGAAACCCAGACCCTCAGTGGCCTATTAGAGTGGGGTGAGCCTATAAAGGTCACAGGAAAGGAGTGACCAGAGAAGTAGGAGGGAAAGTAGGAGAGGGCGGGGAGGAGGCTTTACATACCAGCCAGGTTGGAAAGGACAGACCAAGGGTAAGAGACATAAAGTTGTCATTTTCATCCATAAATTTCTGAGTGCTTGCTATGCTGGTACAGGGTAAAGCCTTCTGGAAGTAGAAGAAAACATTAGGGGAGGAGTCAGGGTCAAAGCATGAGGGAGTAGAATCCTAGCAGTAAAAATAGGGTCCAAGGACAAGCCTTAGTGATTCAACCCCCCAGCAATAGAAGGGGGATTCTATGCCCTCCTCCCCCACCAACAGTAACATACCTGTGAGTATTTAGTGAGAGACTGAACATGTAAGTCATTCAGCTCTCATTGAAACATCTTCATGATGGGGAAGTGCAAGATAGCTCGATCCAATTTTAGACAGTTCTACTTATTTGCAGTTCTTCCTTTTTTTTTTTTTAAATATATTTTTATTGAATTTTTACAGAGAAGAAGGGAGAGAGATAGAGAGTTAGAAACATCGGATCAGCTGCCTCCTGCACAGCCCCCAGTAGGGATGTGCCCGCAACCAAGGTACATGCCCTTGACCGGAATCGAACCTGGGACCCTTGAGTCCGCAGGCCGACGCTCTATCCACTGAGCCAAACCGGTTCGGCCCTTTTTTTTAAAATAAATGTTTTTTATTGATTTCAGAGAGGAAGGGAGAGGGAAAGAGAGATAGAAATATCAATGATGAGAGAAAATCATTAATCGGCTGCCTCTTGCACGCCCCCTACTGGGGATCTGGCCCACAACCCAGGCATGTGCCCTTGACCAGAATCTAACTCAAGACCCTTTAGTCCTTCCGCAGACTGATGTTCTATCCACCGAGTCAAAACAGCTAGGGCCCCCCCCCCCTTTTTTTTAAAGATTTTTAAAAATTGATTTTTAGAGAGAGAGGAAGTGAGAGGGAGAGAGAAAAACATCAGTGTAAGAGCAAAACATTAATCGGCTCCTTCCTGCACAAAAAAGCCCAACCAACTGAGAGC